AAGGAAAGCATGATGAAACCCTTGGGTGAAGTCTGAGTGGATAATTTACTTTATTCTGCACTAACTCACAGAACGTACTTTGTTGCTAAGCTGTGCCCCACTGTACCGTTTATTTTTATGGGCTCAGTGCGAGCTGCAGTGGAATGCCAATCGAAAAGCCAATGAAAACAGCTAATGTTGAGAAAACACAACACAACTTAGAGGATATCCTAAACAACTAAATTGATATATGTTGCACGTGTAGGGGTAGTTCTGACAACTAACCCAAAGTACAGTTTTCTGAGTTTTTGGTCTTGTTTTCACCAAATACCCGAATGTTTGCTCTCATAACTCATTTGCTCATAGTGTTTAGGAATGTTTTAGTTTGTAATGAAAATTTTGATGAGAAAATTATCACAAATTGTTCATAGTATAATATCCAAACATTCCACAGCCAAGATCAGAAACAGACACAGACACAGACACTTAAATCAAAGTTTGTGACATCAAGAACTTAGGGATATCATCAATATGATTAAATTTTATGCAATAAAATGCTAATTAGCATGTACATTTGCATACTTGGATAAGATCCAGAGGATAGAACATTAATAATAACTTCATTACACAACTGAGGGCTCTGTATGGTACAAAACAACATATTCTCAAAAATTGGATGTCACCAAGGATCTATAGGTGTCTGAAAGTGTGTGATATGTGCTGAAGATCACACACGAATTAAAAAAGTTGCGTAAAATTTTGGAGAGGCGAGTTTAAAACTTAATAACAAGACCCCTGAAAAAATAAAAAAAAAAATATTTTTATATAACATCAAGAATTTACAGCAAATTGACAATTTTACCAGTATACAGGATGACACTTCTATAGTCCTGCTCTTCCTTAATTCAAGCCACGGTTTGGAAGATTAGTTTTTCAAATGCTTTGCTACATTCATGCTAAATTATGAATAAAAATCTCAAAGTCCGTTTGACAATTTTTCAATAGACTTTTGCCACTGTACTTTGACATGATCTATACCGGTAATTTATGTTGCAGCTTTATGTCACTTCAATAAAACTCCGATGTCTATGTTAACGTCTGGTAACCTTAAACACGTAAACACTACACCAATTACCAGTGTTTTATGCTGAGCATATTTGTCATAATACATTACATGGTTATTGTATAATGTACCAACTTTAGCACAGTACCAGATGAAGTTGATAACGATCCTAAAATCATGGAACACCCAAAGTCAATATTTATTCATTTAGTATTACTTACTTTTACTCTCCCGGGTACCTGTCTAGCCACCCTCAACATCGCTAAAATGTATCACGGCGATCGAATTATCAGATTTCCGTCAACTTATAGGTGAAGACATCAGCAGACTTCAATGCACGTCTGCTCGTCCACGAAAGGTCAGGCACCGACAAATTAGGGGTTTCTGGGTAGAACAGCTGGATCGTTCGCAGAGAAGAAAAACTGTAGTGTAGAAATATTCGTTTACTTTTATTGTTTTATCTAGTTACTGAATTTATTTGTCGTATAAAATATAAATAAACGCTTTATATTGAAAAAAATAAACTTAATACCTAAA